AAAGACGAGTTTTTTGATTACCCTGGTTATTAGTCAATGACAGCGGTGGCCTTTTAATTTGTTGACATCCTTCTGTTTTTTGCCATCTATATCATAGGTGTAGCAAAGCAGTGTCTATAGAGGCTGGAACTGAATTCACAGCAGAAATAATCTCAGAATAGAAGTCAGCCTGAATATAGGTCAAGTTAGTGCATAGGAAACCAACACATCTTCAAAGCTGTGGCTCAGAGAATGCCTAAGGGTATACTTAAGGCATGAATGTTGCATATTAATTCAGGGGACTGGGCAGTAAAACTAGGCTTTGTTCAGTTTCTAAGTGTGTTGCCCTGTACTCTGACATAAATTGTGCACAGTGAAGCTGTGAGCTCTGTTGTCTCAGCGTAGATTTGTATTTCATGTAGAGAACTTAAATTACCTAGTTGTGAAGAAAATGCTTCAGGAGCCTCGCAGCGCTCTCCTGGAAGCCAGCCTTTGTCTTTGCAAGCAGAACGTGCCTGCAGAGCGTGGAGGAGCTCTCAGCCCGTGGCAGGAAGAAATCAGGCACATCTGAACCTTGTAGGTAAATTATTCTTTCCATCCCTAATGTTAATTGAGGCACAGGAGGTTCACGTGAACTGGCTGCCGTTTAGGCGCGGATGAAAGTAATCGGTTTACTGCTGGTTTAAAAAATGTAAATCTTCTGTGGGAGATACTTCAGGAATTGTTTGAGGTACTGAGGAGACTTGAAAGGCCTTAGCATGTGACTGTAATTGGAGAAAAGATTCTAAATGGAAATGTATGAAGCAGACAACAAGTTGGTGCCACGGAAGTCTGACTCTTGAAATGTTTTAATGCGTATGTGGTTTTACAAATAAATATGAGGGTGGGGTGGATTTACATGTCCTTTAAAAATTTTGTACCCAAATAGTCAACAACATACTGATTATCTCCTATTATAGTACTTTAACAGAATTTATAGAAGTACTGATTTCCATTCATTCATGAAATGATTGGTTTCAAAACATTAACACTTATTTTCATGGAATAGAGAAAACTAGAAATTAACTATGTAAATAAAATAATAACTTAGGTATTAGTTATTATCACTTACTGAGTTGACAATGATAGGAATCAAAGATTATTTTCAGTAGCCATTAAGAAATCTGCATGAGTCATTATAAGCTGCTTTTTCTGGGGTTTTCTTTTTGTTTCCTTTTCAGAACACTTGGCTATCCCTTCCATCATGTAACACGGGCAGTTGTAGATCAATTTGTTCAACCATGCATGTAGTGAGTAAGGTTGTACTGTTTGGACCAAATGGAGGTCATAAACAGTTTTAATTTATAATGATGCTATCACATGTATTCAGTTATGCTCAAAAAGCAGTGTTTAAGTGGTTATATTATTCATACCAGCAATAGCATCACAGTTTTTCTTCACCCTGCCAGGATGTTGTAGCTTAGGCTTGTGTAAGGTCTTTATTTTGTGCCTCTCTTGTACCAGTAAAATTATGTCTGATCCTGATGCTTCTTTTACCACACCAATTTCATTTCTCATTGTAAATTGGGTGCTGGGAAGTTAAGAATAGGCAATATAAGACAAAAGGGATTTTCATGTATGCTCTGCCTCTCTTCTAGCCCTTGTGTTCCTCCTGTATTCCCTCTGAGCAGGGAACAGATCCATTCTAGGGAATGGAGCCTGGGAAGAGATGAAGGGCCACACTGTGCCCTTATAATTTTATAGTGCTTGTGGTGTTAGAGAACCAAAGGTGTTATTGAAACAGGGTTTTGGGAGAAGAAGGTGGTATGTTTTATTAAACCCACAGATGTAACTGGAAAAAAAAAAAATAATAGATGCTCTCAGAGACAGTCTGTCTTCAGGTCTGAAACAGAAGAAACAAAACCAAACAGCTGGAAAAAATAATTTTGTGTTTGTGTCACCCAACTAGATAATTGACAAAGGAAGTCTTTGCTAGATGTAAAATTCAGAAGGATATGGCTGAGAGAAAGTGGTCATTGGCCCTTCTGAATAACCAGAGCTTTTCCTTCAACTCCAAAGGCAATGAGTGTTTCTGGCCAGTAACCACCTGTGATAGGTGTGAGTGCTTTCATTGTCATTTTCACTTTACCTCTGTCACTTGATGCTCCATGTCCTGGAAGACCCTGTGTTTTCCTGAGAGGCTTGGAGGGGGTGGATGGGGCTGGATTCAGCATCACTGAAACAAGAGAGAGTGCTGAATGTTCTAAAACTGTTCTGTTGCTCCAGAAGTCTGAGGTCACTGAGGATGTGTTTGCACGTGGACTAAAACCCACAGGAGAACAATCCGGATTTCTAGCAGAGTAGACAAGTATGGTACCAAGAGGTTTTTTGTGATTAAACTTCAACTTGGCTTCTTCATGTTAGATTGAGGAGAAAGCTGTGGTTTAGTTATTTTCTCTGTAATGGAGAAAGTGCAAGAAAAGGGCTGGAAATCAGCTATTTCTATCTCTGCACAAAATGGCATTGCTAGTAGGTTTCTGTGTGTGGTTATTTTGTAATGTTCACTGGTGTGGTGCTGGTGTGCTCCTGGAGTACTGCTTGAGGAAGCTTAAGTGGAAGAACATTTAACAGCAGTAAAATACAGTTTTCTCATTCATGTTCATCAAAGCCTCGCCTGTCTTATGGAAGTGTGGCTGATTGTAGAGTGACTTCCATAGGAGAATGACTTGCCTTGCTCTCTGGAGCTGTAAGGAGTCAAGCAGTTCAGTGTCCAAACACTTTAGTTCCAACACAAGGTCAGTTCTTGTAGAAAACAATTTATTTTCTTCAATGTATAAGCTCATGTTTGTTTTTAGCCACACAGTCCTATGCCTTTCGTGAAAACAAACAAGATGCATGCATGTTTTCAAGTGTTTTGTTGACCTTGGATGCAAATGCTGCCATTTGATTCCATTGTGAATTTGAAGATAGGCCTGTGAGAATGAATAAATACTTCTGGAAGTATGTGTGTGTTTGCATTTCCTGAGAGTTGTCATGAATACAATCTAGTACATTGTAAGAGACGTGGAAACTTCTTATCAAGACTTGCACGAGAAAAGCAATTTACCAGTAAGGGTGAGAAAGATGAACGGGAAACAGGAAAGATCTCTCCCCTAATTGTTCCTGTTGCTCATTTTAAGTGTACACAGGCCTGTGCACTCACTGCATTGCCAGAGGAGCTTCTAACAGCACTTGGCACTTACTTTTGCTTGTTTTCTTTTCAAAAGGTAGTGAGGCAGTTCCTTTACAGTATTTACTAATACTCTGGGAAAAAAAATGCAATAACTAAACTCATGGATGTCTATTCCTCATCTCTGTTTTCTCTAATTCTCTATTTCTCATCTTTCTGTCCCCCTGAAATTTCCTGAAATTTGGTGTTAATTTCCATAAAACAGAAGGCTTAAAACTGTATAAGGAATCCACTGGGCTCCTTACAGCAGCAGAACCTGAAGGAAGGAATTCCTGATCCCTCACACAAACTGCTCCTGTGCCAGGTCAGCTGGTGGTGCATTGATACACATACAGAGAGATATAAAACCCAGTGCTCTCATTAATATTTTTGTCCTTATGGTAACTTCAAATTCACATGATGAAGGCTGCTTAAGAAGGTTAGTGAGAATCTGATTGTAATGGATCTGTATTTAAGTCAGTGGATTCCCAGTCCCCAGGAGACAAAAAATAAGAGGTGAAATGCTGAAGCAATCACAGATTTATCAATAGATTGGGGTTTGCAATCTTGCACTTGTTTGTATTGCAACTTGTTTTGCTTTGCAAACAAAGGGTTGTTTTGCAAGTGTTGCTATACAGATATGAAAACTGGATTCCACCTGACCAGAGCTTACTGTGATGGTTTTTAGTGAGATTCTGGAGGCGAACATTCACAGAAAAATATCAGTTCTTACAAGTTTTATGGTATAGAAATGATAAAGAATTACCTGGGGTTGAAACTGACCCCAGATTCCCTGATAACCATTTGTGAACTCATTTTTATAACCTCCTTTCTGGAACTGGAAAACCCTTATAAAAGAGGATACCAAGTTATGTAAAGCTGTTGAAATATTCTTGTAGGCTACCTGAGTACCTTCAGACGATTCTGCACAGTCCAGGGCCAGATTCAGATTTCCAGCATCTCAAACTATTGACATTGTCTTTTCCCTAGTGCAGTTGAGGTGGGAGGATCCAATAGCACAAATAGGGTGCTGCTGCAAAGAAAATATATCTTTTTTAAGGTTTGTTCCTGTTGCATGTTGGCTCCATGTAAATCCAGGTGTGGTTGTGGGGTAGTGTCAGTTCTGCAGACCTTGTGTGCTTTGGGCCAGCTGACCAGTTTCCAGCTGGCAAAAAGCCCATTTGCCTTGACCATGTAAAAGCAGAAGGTATGAACAAAGCAAATCATGTTACCTGTTGTAGTTAGGAAAAAAAACCTCCAACCAACCATAGTCTCAAACAATCCACACACATGCCATCCCCATCTTACACAAAAATGAACCCTACTTCCATGAGGACTTCTTTTCTACATGGGTAGGAATTCAAGACTAGATTTGAAATTTTAAATTTGGGTTTTAGCTTGTAATTGCTTTTTAAAAACATTGGAAATACAAACGTATTTCTGATGCATTCCTTTAAAAATGTTAGTTCTGGGTCAAGTTTCTGCTTCTCCTACCACTTAGAGCAACTTCATCTAGAAATTCCAGGCTAAATAAAATAAAGTGTCTGTAATACCCTTTCTTAAAAACAGATTTATCAACGCTAATATGTTTTGTTGCTATGATAACTCAGTTATCAACATTAAACATTTGTTCAGTCATTTGTTTACCAGTGGCAGTTTGTTAGTAGTTATAAGTAGAATTCCATCTGCCAGTTAAACTATATTGTAAATTAATGCAGAAATCAGCAGCTCCTGTTTGTTGGGGGTGGGGGGAGGTGTCTCTCCTAATGAATATATGAACTTAATTGCAGATAAATGCATCTGCAGAAGATGGTTGGGGGGCATCTCAGGTATAGTGCACACAAGTGTGCCAGTCAGGCGCAAACAGGCACACACTGTGATTATCTCAGTTTTCAAACCTGGAAGAGACAAGAGTGTGTTGCTAAATGAGAGAGGCAGTATGTCATGCTCACTGAGATAAAAACAGAAGCTGCCAGACACTTTGGCTTTATTCTGCGAAAACTCTCCTCTTTTCCTCCGGCTTATTCTGCCTCCCATTCCCATTCTTCCTCCTTCCTTCGCTGCTGTCGCGATCTCTCTCTCATTGTTCTCTCCCTTTTCCCCGTCTTTGATGCACATACGTTGTCACATTTCATTGACTCTCCCCTCTTCTCTGTTCTTACACTCACGCCTAGTGGTGCTTCAGCCAGAGCTCGCAGCCTCTCTGCCGAGTTTTAGTCATGTGTGAAGCTCAGTTTGATCGAGCGCTCCTTTTCTGCCTTTTCACTCTCGCAAAAGATTAAAAGGTGGCGTCACATCGCTCCCCGGCTTTCTCCCGCAGGACGGACTTAAAAGGGACAACAAAAACTAATCACTTTCAATAAGCGTTTTCTTGCGAAAAAGGGACTTGGCTGTGCAATTCGAGGCCGGTGCTAAGGATTGGGAAGGCTGGAGGATGCTTCATACTGCTAACAAGGGAAGGAAGCCTTCAGCTGAGGCAGGTAAGAAGAGTCTGGATCCCAATGTTTGATGGAGTGCTTGGTCGGAGCGGTGGATTTTCAGCCTTCTCTAACTGAGGCAGGCAACTGCAGCAAGAGGCAGCAGTGGGGTTGGATCAGATTCCTTTTGTTTAAGATGTAAAGTCTGTGCTATAAATCGAATTAGAGATGGGGTTCTGAGGATGCTGGATTCACAATGAGTGCTTGTTTTTTTCCTCCGTTTTCTCTGTGTATCAAAATAAATCACAGAGCCAGCTTTTGTGAAAGCTGGACTTTGCTTAAGGTTAAATTCAGTGCAGAAATCTCAGTGTAAGGAAAGCTTTAGAGTCTTACAGCCCTCAGGGAGCTTGCATTCTGCAATTTGATTGCAACAGCTCAATTAAAAAAAAATATTTATTTACTATTTATTGTGTAAGGTAAAATCTAGCATTGAATTTAGGTCTAGGTGAATATGGCATGTTTGCCTGGCATTTTATCAGATGAATAGCTGTATCATTTTAGACATACTGTAAAACCTATTTCATGTTTATGTTTTGTAAATTGAGATTAAGTAGTACCCTGAATGAAATACGTGACTAAAACTCATAAAATGCATCTGTGTTTAGTAAAGCAATCACCAAATTAGAATAATGGATTTATGTCAGTTGTCAAATGGAGTTAACTCTGAAAGTGCTGTCCACAAGTGCACTTGGATTACAATAAAGGGCTTTCTGTTTAACAGTTATTGAGAGGAGCTAATTTATCAGGCAAAGCCTAGGAACTTAAAGTCGTGTGATAATATAAAATTCTATAGCCTAGAGGGTTTTTGATTTTGGGAAACGTGCCCTTTTATTCTCTATAAAAATACATTAAGGTTTTATAGGGATTCCAAAGGCAAAAATAATTTTAGTGAGTCTTTTTTGTTCACAACTGGAATATTTAACTATTGGGACGCCTGTTTCTGTCTGTCACTGGCTTTAGTGCTTTTTTTTCTCTCCCTACATTTTACAGTTGCTCTCTGTATCAGCAAACTGACTCAAAATAGGAGGAAGGGATTCTGAGCATCCGTGATACTCTGAATTTTATTGTCACACTGAAGAGTGAACAAGCAGTCAAGGGTAGTCAGACCATTATTAGGGTTTTGGAAGAAAGCAAATAGTGTTGTAGTGATCAGAGTTATTTGTAAAGTGGAGCACTTGCTGGCTGGCTCTGAGCAGAGCTGGGAAAAGCTAACTTGGTAAGCTGCAAACACCGTCTGATAGGCAGCATTTCGTGGTGCAGACCTACAGATGAGCTCCCTGCAGAGTGAAATGAATCTGTTTCCTTGAGGACTTTGGTCTCAGTGTGAGTTTCCCCGAAAGGCTGGGTCCTGCTGCAGCCCCCCGAAGCTCTGGCGTTCCAGGCAGCGCCGTGTGCGCAGGGGATGCTCGGACAAGAAGGGCAGGGACCAGGCGCCCCAGCTGAGAGGGACCGAGCCCCAGGGAGGCTGAAGGGGCACTTCCAGCCCTTCCTGCAGTGCTAGTTAACTGTACACTTTCATCCTCATACAAAAGGACAGATTTTTAATTTTTTTTTATTATTATTTTTTTTTTTTTTTTTTTCCTGAAGATTATAAGTCAGAACTTGTAAATGTTTCACTGTTTTGCTGTGGATATTTTTACTTTCTAACTATGGTTTTGCTGAACTTGTTTATTTTTTTGGGCATTGGAATTGCCACTCCAGCTCTTTTTCACCTTTCAAAACCTTTCTATATGTTCTTCCAAGTTCTTTTTATGCTTCAGCTCATGTTGGATCAAACCGAAATTAGGAGTAACTTCTCTGACAAAAATGGAAGTCCTGGATGTAATGTGGTACTTTAAATGATATTTTGTGATTTAAATGAAACATATCTGAGTATAAAAAGGTAGGAATTTAAATGGTAGATGAATTCTGGTAGGAATTAGTCATGAAGACTTTAGTCCTTATGAAATGGCAGAAAAGTGGAAGGTTGAAGCTGAGCCACCTTGATGTGCTTGAGCCCAGAATGCAGGATCTGAATTGCAGAGCATTTATCTCTGCTTTTGGCATTGCCTAACTCTGCCCTACTAGATGTTAAATGGGTGATTAATAGAAATAGCAGCATTTTACTGATGTTCCAGTAGATGATGCTGGAGAGCAAAGTTAAGATTACTTCATCTGGAGAAAGAAATGCAGGGAGATTACAAAAACCAAAGGAAAACTTCAAGGCTGTTGGTAGTTCCATATTATGAGATTAATAATTTTTACATCATTATTGTAGGTGCTATTCCATCTGAAAACCTGAAGAGCCACATGTGCTGGAATGAGGCACATGTAGATACAGCCATGTATTTTTTTAAGGTTTTTACTTACCTCCTCAAATTTTATCACTGTTATTGACATTGTTTGAGCTGTGTTTACTTAGAGGAAGGGCTGAATGAATATCCCTAAAAGTTAGGGGTTTGTTTTTTTGTTTTTTAAATAGAGACACAAAATACAGATTTTTAATTACAAATTAAGAAAATAAATGCATAGCACCTCAAAATTAGAGTTCTAGTACACTGAAGTTGCTTTCCTATGAGAACAGCAAGAGCTTACCAGATCAACACATAAAAGACAAAAAATTCCTCTTAATTTGTATTTTATGTGTACTTTTTTTTATCTATTAACAATTGTGAGTTACCATCTTTTTATGTGATTCAGTTCTGAGAGAAGCCCTATGATGAGTCTCAGATCAATAAATTGTAAGCACCTAATGGCAAATGTGTGAATAGAAAACTGTGATGTTCTATGCTAAAACTACTGTTTTAATTAATCTGATAAAATGATAAAGCAGTCCCAAAGGAGAGGAGGATTTTAGTATACAGGCACTAACTGATGCAATTTCAGGCAACCACTGACCTCTATCTGTGGGAATATTTATTTTTGGAGATGATCACCAACCGTAACTGATTTCAAATTCAAAACCCTAATGTGTGTTGTGTTTCTTTAATCCTAGCTTTTCACGTAAAGCAGGATAATAAACATGCAAAACTTAGGCTAGTCATGCTAAAAATGTGCTCTCCCTGTGTGCAACTGGTTTGTACCTTAAATATAAAAAGACAAACAAGAATTATTTGAAGACCTTTGAGAGAATTCAGTTTTTAGAATTAAAATTACTATGTTTGACTGAATTTTATAATATATAGGAGCTTGCCTTTATTTTGTTTGCTACTTAATGTGTAAGAAAAATTCAACTTCTGCTTATAATTGGGGAAAAAAAATGGAGATAGGAAAATGTGTGCCAGATCTCTACAGTCATCTCTCATGTAATTAGCATTGTAGGCTATTGATTTATTGTGGCTCAGATTTAGTATTTTTATGGGTTTTTGTGTGTGCCAAAATGTCTTTAATCTGACAAGATTGAGGTTGGTTGAGGTTTTTTTGTTGTTTTTGTTTATTTGGTTTGGTTTTTTTTTTTCCTCATATAGGTTTGCTACTGCTAGTAGAGATTTCCTTAATTAATCCTCCTTTAATTTATTTGTGCATGCACACAACTGTGTGTACATGCTAAGGTAATTCCTTAACCTCCAGAAAGCTGTCCAAGTACTTGATATGCAGAGGAAGTAAAATCAGCATTTCCTAAGCATATTTTAGGAAATGTAACTCTATATGTATTTATTGAATGGGCATGTGGATTTTGTTTTGTTTTGTTTTTGGCCACTGAATGTTGTGTCTCAGTTGGCCATGGCCAAAAGTTCATGAGCACTTTCACATTTTTAAAATTCCATGTCATTCAGAAAAATAGGCTTTGCTGTTTCCAGTGAGAACATCACCAGAATTATGTTCTCATACCTTCCTCTCTCTCAGACTTGTCAATTCAATGAAATGGTACATAATTTAGTTTAAAAGATTGTAATATGTCACCAGTTTCTAAAGAGAATTCCCTATTGAAAACATTGGCAAATTCACTTTAAAGGCTTATGACACAATATAGCCCTGAGGAATAAACTTTTATCTTTGTATTTCTCAGTTCTCAAAGTCACGAAGAGAAAAGCAAGCATACTTGTATACTGGAATTTTATTTAGGAGAACAGTCCTGAAGGCTCAGAATAGCTGCACAGGGTCAATAATTCTGGCCACAATTGAGTTCAGTGCCATATTTCTCAGTAGCAGCAAGAGTGTATTTCTAGGTTTGTCTCTGGATGCTTATTTATGTAGAAAGAATGACAAAAATCTGAATCTGTGTATTTTAATTGAAGCCCATTAGAAATTTAAAAATACTCAGTCTCACATTTTTGGAACTGAGGAGGAATCTAGGAGTCTGCAGTAAGTTATTGAAATATAAAGCTGGGATGTGTACATAGGAAAATGTACTGCAGATAATACTAATTTAATGATTTATTTGGGAGGCTTGCATCTATACCAGAGACTGTGATAGTACTGTTAAAATAGGTAAATAAAAATGTGAAAAAAGTAATTTTAAAAACTAGAAATAGGATTTGGCAATGAAGTTATCTTAAAAATCTTCTAAAGGAGGACATGGTTGTATATATTTTCCTCATTAATGATGCAGTAACTCAAAGCAAGGGATGTAAGTTCTTTTAGCTGTATTGTATAGAATATATTTAGCTAGCACAGTTCTTACTCTATGCATGCAATTTCTGAAGATACGGAGCTCAGTTGCTATCTATAGCTTATATTGACTTAATAAAATTCAACCTGTAGTTCATAGCTGATTCCAAATCAAATAAAATTTGTATTCTGTTATGAAATATGATTATAGTATGGTAAAACACTGCATTAGAGGGCCCCTGCCCTCAAAAATAAATTACTTTTAAAAAGTGAAAAAGCTTTTTAGAGAAATCTTTTTTGAAGCAGGACGTTGTTTTCAGATCATCTCCTAAACTTACCATTTTCTGTGAGGTTTCAGGAGTAAAATCATATGAAAGTTTCTCATATGTGGACCTTCTCTGTAAAACATTGGAAGTGTTAGAAAACCCAATATATGTTTTCCAGGATTTTTTTAATGGAACTGAATACTGAGT